AACTTCCAATGCCTGGATTAAAAGCTACCTTGTGATTGCTGATCCATTTTCAGTTGAAATGGTTTAAGAAATATCTGTTGATAAATGTTGAGTCATTGTTTAACCAAAAAAAAGTATTCTGTAATAATGTGTTTCTTTATGATACCAAACAAGAAACTCTTGTTGATATTAATGTTTTCATAGTTCCATCAGATTGTGAAAGGCTAAAAGATTTCTCAAACTTTTTGATAAATAATATGAAATCAAGCATACTTGAAATTCCAAAAATGAATAACACTGGTTTCAACAAACAGCTGAGAGGCTATTTTTGATAACTCCTAGATGGTAAAGAGGACCTACTGTTATATATCTGAAATTATTTGTTACATTTTCTTGTGGAAGGAAAAACGTTCAAAATCCTTCCTTTCCAAATTTAAAGAAAATCTTAATAACAATTATATTTATAAAAAAAAATGTTGTGCCAAGTTCTTACAGTGCACTAAATTAGAAAAAAAAAGGACTTTGGTAATCCATAACTCAATGCCTAAAACAAGCTGGGTGCATGAAAACCATTTTTCCCATTGCACTATGGGATAGCCTCAGTTAATTGAGTATTTTTCATAAGTGTACTTTCTCATAAGCCTTAGCTTTGCTCATGAAAACCCACCAGAAACATGGAGACGAAGCTGATAGCACATTGGGCTATCACTGTTAGTGAATATGAGAGTCAGAGGGAGACCGTGTATAGTACATTTAGCTTCTCTTTTTTTTCTAGCTGATGACTGCCAGTTTACCTGGAAACCTATTTTCTGTGTGTCCTGTATGGGCTGAAACTGTTTATTAGGCCTCTCCTTTTTATGGTGATAATGATTCCTGAAACTGAAAATAAAAATATCCAAAGTTCTGTTCAATCATTTCTGAAAAAGCTAGGAATAGTTTCCCATTTCTGCAGCTACTCATAATTCTACTACTATCACTATTAATTATTACTATTGCTGTTAATCTATTCTGTTTGGCAGTTCTAAAGAATGGCTTTCTCTAATCTGGTTCACTAAAACTTCCACAATTTTGACCATGGTCAAAATGACATGCATCAGATTGCAAAAAAAAAAAATCATCTTACAGATGAGCACCTCACCTCATTTCCAGTAATTCTTGAGGTTCTTCCGATCAGTTTTTGACAATACTGTAGCAACACACATTGTGAAATACTTCCTGAAGTATACCATATTCTCCTGGTCATAAAGAAGAGATTGACTACAAGGCTATCCAAGACTGCATGGAATCCTCCTAATTATTTTTGTGCTCTCAGGAGCTGTTTTTGACTCCAGTTGTCAAAAACTAATGGTAGAGTGTCCTGCCCTTGTGAAACAGGAGATATATGGAAACTCTAAGCCCTAAAACAGTTGAGCATATTTTTTCCCAAATCAACAACCACACCAACTCTTCACAAAAAAAGATTAAGAAAAGATAAACCTTGTCTCCGCCCTAAAGTGGTAGCCCTATCCACTTGAATCTTCTACCACCTCATATATATTGTCAAGTCCAGTGATGTGCATTTTTCTCCAACTCATTGAGGATGTATTCCAAAAAGTGTCAGTTGAGGCAAAACTGTGATTTGAGTTCCTTTCTGTTTGCATTTAAGTTCAGTGTAGTTAATGGATTTCTTTGCCCTGTCATATATATGTAATATTTTTAATGTGACTGTAGCAAAAAATAACTTTCTCAAAATCTCTGGGGATTAGATTTTTTGTGACGATTGTAGTCCTAGAGTTTTGGGTTGTGTGAAAATCAGAATTACTTTTCAGTGCTTCTTAATGGTCAGCATTCTCTCAAAACCCTGAAATGGGAAGAGTTATTTTTTCTGAAATATGAAATCTGGAAGCTTTCCTGACTCTTGTAGGATTTACAGTTAAGTGATTTCAGTTACCATGGTTTAATTACATACTTCAGGATTTAATTATATGTTTCATGATTGCTTGAAGTCCATGTTTGACCTAGTGAATTATCTTTTTGTCCAAAGCAACTAATAATCTATATATACCATTAGAATAAAGGGGCTTTGTAATTCAGATTCATAAAAGGAAGTAGTATTAAGTTGTCACAATTATACAGTGATAAATCCATGCCTTGGGGACCTCATTAAAAAAAAATCAAAATAGTCCTTTTGTATTTTGTAACACTGAATTATTTTCACATTTATTCACAATCTAACCAGTCTATTGATGCTAACAGCTGTTGATGGGTGCTGGATCGCAAAGAAATGAGCAGAATTATTTCAAATGCTTGCTAAGGTCTTCCAGTACAGGCAACAAACAAGATAGAGAGTTTAATCCGTAATTCAACGTTTTGGGGAAGATATTGTGATAATCAAGACATCACTAAATGAAATAATTATTTGTCCATGATAATGAGGCTGTAAATGTCTTAGCTTATTTTTTTTTCTTCTGGATCAGAAGGAGAAAAATCTTTTTATAAAGTACTTTTGACGTTTTTGAAGAACCTTGTAAAATGAACTGACTTCATGTTAGACATTTGATGTATCAGAATGTTTCCAGGTTGCACAAAACTTTTAAAGAAATATCAAAGTCCGAAATAAATAAATAATCCTAGAAAAAATATAGCCCATTTTACGTTATAAGGACACTTTTTAAACTAGTAATTTATCTTCTGAAACTGAAAAAAAATGAGTGTGCGTGGTTGGATTTACATGTTACTATAATCCATATTAGTAAATTGTGTGAATTCAGGGACTGAAGTTTGTATCTCATGGCTGATATCTTAGTATGTTGTGTCAGTACAGCAAATTTATTTTGGCCTGTAAACTATGGTTAAACAAGCCATGGGTTAATGTGATATGTATGTATGTAGGGTGGGGTGGGGTGACAGAACTGGTTTTGTAAAGAAAATTAATCATAATAGTGGCTTTTTTGCTCAGTTTTTACTGAATGCAGCCGAGTATCATTTCTCATCCTCAGTCTTACCAGTAGTTCCTCATAACCGTAGTGTGACCTTAGCACCTCAAACTCACATGATACTTTAGAGGGGGAAATAATAGATTTTAGAATTGCTGCATATATGGCATTTCCATACAGGTAGTCCTTGACTTACAACAGTTTGCTTAGTGACCGTTCGAAGTTACAATGGCACTGAATAAAGTGACTTAAGACCATTTTTTACACTTAGGACCGTTGCAGCATCCCCATGATTGTATGATCAAAACTCAGACACTTGGGAATTGATCCATACTTATGACGGTTGCAGTGTCCCAGTCATTTGATCACCTTTCACGGCCACCTGGCAAGCAAAGTCAATGGGGAAGCCAGGTTCGCTTAACAGCCGTGTTACTAACTTGATAAATACAGTGATTCACTTAACAATGGTGGCAAGAAAGATCATGGAATGGGGCAGAATTCACTCAGCAAATGTCTCGTTTAGCAACATAAATTTGGGGCTCAATTGTGGCCGTAAATTAAAGACTGCCTGCATAGAGATGACTTCCTAGTTATTGTGGAGTAGTAATAGCACTTAGACTTATATATCACTTTACAGAGCTTTACAGCCCTCTCTAAGAGTCAGCCTCTTGTCCCCAACAATCTGGGTCCTCATTTTATCCACCTTGGAATGATGGAAGGCTGAGTCAACCTTGAGCCTGGTGAGATTTTGAACGGCCAAATTGCAGGCAGTCAGCAGAAGTAGCCTGCAATACTGCACTTTAACCACTGTGCCACTGTGGCTCTTATGACCGAGTACCTGTCATGGTTGCCCCCTTGTGTCACAGGTCACGTTAGCCAACCAAGCAGGTGAGGAACTTCTCAGCATTCCCTCCTGCCATTGCTAGGGCATATTGAGGTGGCCTTGGTTCTCACGAGCCTTGTTGCTGTTATGTCTGGCACTTTGGAGGAAAACATGCATTCCATAAGTCCCCCTCTCCCCATAAGCATGGCAACAAAGAAACAACGCAGAGAAAAATATGACTTCAGCTAGAATCGTTTCAAGAGTTGACAGTACCAGATTCAGCACATAATTATTTTTATCGGAAGTAATTCAAACAGCAACAAAATGAAGAAAGACTAAACCTCCCGTCCCGGTGACTGACCAGATTGGAGCTTGCAAAATGAACAAATGTAATTTTTTGAAAAAGAATATTTCTTTGTATAGTGTATTTCTTTCTGAGCTCAAGATAGCATTCGCTGCTGGCCTTGGATATGTTGAATTGAATTTTAATACACCCAGTTCAAATCCAATACTTGAACAGCTAATCCAAGCAACCAATGAATATGTTGTATGTGTTTCAAACTGGATCGAACTAGACTGCACATTTGAAAAAATCTGGTTTTGTATTACTGCATTTCCCTGAAAATACGACCTACCCCGAAAGTAAGTTCTAGCTTGATTTTTACACATGTGCCCAATATAAGCCCTAACCCCAAAATAAGCCCTAATTAAGACCATCTCCTCCTCTCCCCCTTCCCCCCCACTCCAGGGTGCATGGGTAAAAATTAAGCTAGGGTGGGGATGCAGGGTGGAGCTGCCCTACTACTTATCTTCGGACAGTTGCAGCCACATACCGCAACACCTGCCTTGCCGGCCCATTTCTTCTGCAGCCAGCAAGGCTTTCCTGAAGGCTCTATAGCCAATAACACCTCTAGATCGATCTGGAGCTCCGTTATCACCTGCAGAGGCCTTCAGGAAAGCTTTCCTGGCTGCAGAAGAATTTCCTGAAGGCCTCTGACAGCAAAAAGGAAGCTAGGGGTGATGCGCACAAGTGAGCTGAGTCAGTGGACGAGACCCTCCCCTCCCCCCCAAAATAAGACCTGGTGGCAAAAATAAAATTTTTGGTGGCAAAAATAAAATAAGACAGGGTCTTATTTTTGGGGAAACACAGGTATAAGTAGAATCCATATAATCTCATTAGATGGTAACACAGTTCCATAATGTCTCTTAACTCTTTTGAGGCCTGAAAGTATTAATGGGTTGGCAGATGCTAATAGCTGTGTTTTCCTGCTTGCTTTTTTCAGGCTATTCGAAGCTTCCAGGTTGCCTTGCACATCTATCCGCTCAACTCCGAATTGTGGAACGAAGATCTTTCCTGGGCAAGAAAATTACAACAACAGAAAAAAGCAACCAAAACTGAGACAGGAACACAGGGGGATGAGACAAAAACTCTGGAGGAACCAATCCCAGATTATGATTTTGAAAGCGATGAGATCTTGGCCGTGTGTGCTGCCATTGCAGAAAAAGAAAAAAGCACTTTGACCTCTAAAAGTGTAGTGATTGTATCCGCTTCGGGAACCATTGAGACTGTAACTGAACAAGAGGAGTGTGCAACGGTCCCTGATGGTGCTGTGTTTATCAAAGCCCGATAATCCACATAGTTCCTTCCTGTAACAGCCGTAAATTTGAGGAGCCGCTGTTGCTGTTGTTGTTTTACTTGCTTTGCCTTTTCTCAGAGCCCTGTCTTGAGTCACTGAGCATTGGAGATCCCCATTCCATCAAATTAAACTTCCGGAGGCTCATGTGTCCTGTAGGACTAGAGGAGGCAGAATTTGGAAAACCGAACATCAGTTCATTGCTGTTGCCTGTCTCCCACATTGAATGCTACTTTGCAAACAACACCTTTGCAAATGTGGTGCCTTCCTAACGCAACAGCCTCCATGTCCCACAATCCACGCATAGCATGGTTCTTGGGGATGATAGCTGAGGTTCGTGGAAGGTGATGTGCAATCCTCCCAAAAGGCATCTCCATTGTGGAAACCTGGTGTTCCGTATAGAAAGAAAACAGAACTGTGTGTGTGTCTGGCAATAGTGGCTTTGAAATAGGAACTGGAAGTGTTGGGTCTGTGTATGTTTATACTGCCAACATCTGTTCCTGCTGTGATAAAGCAAAGCAGGGGGTGCAGCAAAATCTTCACGTGCTTGTACAGTTGTGGTACGGAATGTGCGGAACATGTTTCAGTCTATAGTCTTTTGAGTCAAGGTCATTCTGTTAACTTAATATAGGGGCTCTCAGATGTAGTTCTCAGATGCTGCTTTGCATGCAAGATACTCTCTTTTGGTTTTTTTTTTCCAAATCCAGTTTTAAAATACTATGTATTCATGCGCTCGAACAAAATGCATACGGTGGCCTTAATGCTTCCCACTGTCGACGGACTTTTAAAAAGGGATTGTTTTCGTGAAGTTTAAGGTTCAGGTATTCCTTGTTTGGGGATGATAATTGGGATCAGGAACTCCATCCCTAAGCTACATCATCCATGGAGTGTGATATCATGTGACCACCCCGATTTACGATGGCAGTTTCGGCTGTCCAGTTGCTGCTGTCAGGTGCCGTTGCAGCATAATAATAATAAGGAGCCTCTGTGCCACAGAGGTTAGAGTGCAGTACTGCAAGCTACTTCTGCCTACAATTTGGCAGTTCAAATCCCACCAGGCTCCAAGTTGCCTCAGCCTTCCATCCTTCCGAAGTGGGTAAAACGAGGACCCAAATTGTTTGGTGGCAATATGCTGACCCTGTAAACCACTTAGAGAGGGCTGTAAAGCACTATAAAGTGGTATATAAATCTAAGTGCTGTTGCTATGTGTCATGTGATCACATTTGCAACTTCTTGCCAGCTTCTTCCTAAGTTCCTAAATGGTGATCATGTGACCTAGGGATGTTCTGATGTCATAATTGCAAACTGGTCACCAAATGCCTGAATTGCAATTACTTGACGGGGGGGGGGGGGGGGGGGGCTGCAACAGCCACAACTACTAGGATCTCATGTAAGTCCCCCCCTCATTCAGCAACTGTCATAATCGCAGTCACTGAACAAGTAGATATTAAATGAAGTCTAATTCAGGGCTGGGATGCAAATATTTTTATTACCGGTTCTGTGGGCGTGGCTAGGTGGGTGTGGCCATCTGACTGGGTGGACGTGGCTTTTTTTTTTGCAGCACTCCCATGCTCCGTTTTTTTGTGGGTTTTTTATTTTTTGTCTCTTGGGCCTCAGGAAAGCCTCCTGGGAGGCTGTTTTTGCTCCAAGGAGCCTTCCCTGAGGCCCAGGAGGCAAAAAAAAAAAATGGAGTGCGGGGGAGGGGTCGCTGCACACACACACACCTACGCACCCCTTTTTGCCTCCTGGGCCTCAGGGAAGGCTCCTGGTCGAAGCAGTAAGACAGCGAGGGGGATCCCGGCACAGCTGATCATCGGAGGAAAAAAAACCCGAAATACTGATTAAGACAAACAGTTATTTTTTTACTACCGATTCGGCCAAACGGTAGCATTTTTTACTACCTGTTCGCCCGAATCGGGCCGAACCAGTAGAATACCACCACTGGTCTAATCTGTATATTGTTGAGAAAATCTGTGGGCAATTGTGTTTGCAGGGCTTAAATCCCACTCTTCAAAACAAATTAAAAAAAAAAGAAGCCTCGACTGATTTTAATCTCAATTGAAAAAAGAAAGATGAACTTCAGTGGAAGCAATTTCTCACAGCAATTTAAAATAGTATAATTGAAACTGTGTGTCTTTAAACGTGTCTATTGCAGGATAGTATTTCAGTCAGACTTTAGAAACTCTTTTTAAAGGATTACTTTCAGTCCTAAAATAAAATAAAACATAACAGCTGTAAAAAGAAACAATCACAGAGCTTTTAGTATTTTGCCCTTGTGAAGGATATTCAACCTAAAGTCCTGTGGATGGGCAGTATGAAAATGCTGTAGTTAATATGTCTAAGCCATCACTCAAGATGTGAGATGCAAAATGATTTTAAAAACCCACAAAAACATTCTTTTTAGGGACAGTTTGTTCTGCTTCTTTAGAGTCTTGTTTAATCCATGTTTGATGCCTTTCTGGAATATTCAGTGGGGAGAAAAGTATGTGTATGATTATGCTTCTTAGGGTAAATCTGGCAATTCCTGTCAAGTTCTTACAGATAAGTTGTATACATAGCATTTCCTAGGTTTAATCCAGAAGCTTTATTGGTGGCCTCAATGAATTTCTTAAAGCAGAGGAAGTATTAGTCCAGCAGGAACAATTGGTACATTATAGAGTTGGTTATAATCATTTGAAGCACTGTTTGAATATAGTTTTTCTATCTTACCCTCATCCATATCCATACGAAAAACTTTGCATAAATGTAATTTTCATAAATGTCCACACAAATCAAAAGTTGGATATAAATCATTTAAATGTTTGTCATGGAAGAAATTTGTCTCCCATTTATTCAAGCTGCCTGCATATATGCGATTTCATAATTTTCATTTATTTTAAATAACTGTATCCAACCGTACATAGTACAGGTATCCCTTGACTTACAACAGTTCATTTAATGACCATTCAAAGTTACAATGGTACTGATTTATGACCGTTTTCACACTTATGACAGTTGTAGTATCCCCATAGTCACATGAACAAAATTCAGAGGCTTTGGCAACTGACTCACATTTATGACGGTTGCAGTGTTCTGGGGTTTAAACACCTTTCGCAACCTTCACAAGTCAATGGGGAAGTCGGATTCACTTAACAGTAACCATGTTACTCATTTAACAACTGTAGAGATTCACTTAACAGCTGTGGCAAGAAAGGTTGTAAAATGGGGCAAAATTCACTTAACAACTGTCTCACTTAGCAATGAAATTTTGCAGTCAGTTGTGGTTTGTAAGTTGAAGACTACCTGTACTGCATCCTACAAAAAACTAGAAAATGAAACTGCTGCCAAACGTTTACAGAGAAGACAGCAGTAGGGCTGACTTGATCCAAGAAAGGCAGTTTTTGAGCAGGTGGGTAAGCAGATAGGTATACAGGTGGGGGAGTCTATGACAGTTCACCACGACCAACTCGCTGCAGCCAACTCACCATGGCCAACTCACCACAGGAAAATTTGCTGCAGGACAAGAGTTACACTAGTATTAAATAAAGAGTGCAATGGAATCATTAAAGAAGGGATGCAAAAGGAGGGAGACAGAATGAAATCTTAATGGCAAATATTAAAATATATTGTTTAATTTATTTTAAATAAATGGAATTGTTAAATTATCCTACAGTGAGTTGGTCATATTGAGTTGTCCTGCAGCAAGTTGGCCCATTCCAGCAACAGTTCTAGAACCTTTCTGTAACTCTTTAAAGGGGCTGTAGATCCCCAGGATTGTGTTTCTGCTGACCCATATTTCTGGAAAAGGATACTTCTTTAAATAGCAGGCCAGGCTACCTTTGCATACTGACATGGTTTGAAGCACTTTGTGGAATTGCATCTAGATTGAATTTAAACAAGCATGGAACAAGCTCTTCTGAGCATGTGAACGTTTTTTCTGGACATCTTGAGTGCCATACTATCCAGTAATAAAGATTTAGTAGGAGGAAACATCACGTCAAGGCTTCCCAATATGTAGCTTTACTGAATAATTTAATGAAGAACTCAAAACATACTGGGGTTTTGTTTTGTTTTGTTATGTCTTTTATCAATCTTACTCTTAATTTCCAATGCTGGGTTATGTTCAGCATGCCTGAACTGTTGGTGGCTATTCCTGTGTTTTTCCTGTGTGAACAAAATGTGTGTGTAAATATATGAAGTCTAGAATGGTTGTATTCAATGAGCTTGATTAATATAACTCAAGAAGAACCCTAATCCTCTTGGGTCATCAGCTAAGTACATAATTCTGGACATAAAGATTTATGGGGTGAAACATAGAAGACTTCAAGTAATTGATTGCTACCTCATCTTATATTTTATATTTCATTTTATATTTCTAAATTAATGTTTAGAAATTGTGTCTATTGGGTTTATGAATATGTGAGGGCCTTCCCATGAAGTTATGTTAAGGATGAATAAGCAGGCACAGACTCACACCGATTTCGTTACCCAGTGGATATGTCTGCATTTAATAATGATTTCCAAAAAGAAGTTGTGCCAGGATAGCCAGTTTCATAAGCCGACTCTGAAATTCAGGCTCAAAATTCTGATTCCAATGGAAAGCAATTTACATGAAAACCACAATAAGCAACACAATGTGCTTTTTCCTTGACAAAAACCAGACCTTGAACATCAATACAGGATAATAATACTGGAACACAATCTAATCCTTTGAACATAGCATTCGAAAACAAATTTCCAGTGGCTTTAGATATATTTTTTTTAATGGTGAGAAACTTGTTTTTTCCTAATCTTACCCGTTCATTGTTTTTAATAAATAGACCACACCATAGTAGTTGCTTTATTTTTCAGTTCTAGTGCCCAAATCAATTAAATTTGTTTTTAAAACATAGTCTGTCTTTGTTCCCAAAGCATTAGTGCAAACTACAATATTTGCTGCAATAAATGTCAGAAATAACTGAAAGGCCACAAAAACAATGGGGTGGTAGTTTTTCATGCTCCAAATTCATTACAACTGAAAATGGATAATTGCAACATGCATTCCAAATCACAAAAGAACAACTGTCTCTAGAATACCTTGCACATCAGTGTGCACCAGTGGTAGTCAACCTGGTCCCTACCGCCCACTAGTGGGCGTTCCAGCTTTTATGGTGGGCGGTAGGGGTTTTGTCCCCAACTTTATAAATCACCATTACTGTGGAACCGGTGGGCGGTTAGAGAAAATTTTACTACTAACAGAGATACAAAAGTGGGCGGCAGGTATAAAAAGGTTGACTACCCCTGGTGTGCACAATAAACATTTTTAGGGTTTCCTGCATTTCTCCATTTCTTCTATAGCAATCCCACTTCCAGATGCCTCAGATATACGGCCCCCAGAATTCTCAGCCAACAAAGCTGGCTGTTTGCAAATCTTTTTATCAGTTCCATATAGGCTGGGGAAGACTGTAACTGTAACAAGGATAAATGGAAAAATATTGCTCACGTAAGCATTTGGCAACAATGCTTACG